GTTCAAGGCTAGCCTGAACTACACAGTCTCAGACAAAATAGAACAATTCTCCTCTGACCATTAAGGTAGTGAAAAAAACACTAAGACATTCAGAGTCCATATAAGACATAGGATATAGTCTTTGCAAAAAACATTGTAAAAATCTAAAAAATGTGCAACAGATAGTAGCAACAAGAAGCCTTAGGGTAGAGGAGTTTTTGCTTGAGGAAGCAGGCAAAGAAATGAAGAAGTGGAGTACATTTTGAGAAAAGCTAGAAATTAAACTGTTTCTGAAGTTAAGACCTTGAAACTTATGAGATAAAGACCATCTCAACTGTCTTACAAATGCTCAAAAACCTAAAAGCAACCATGGACACAGGTCTAAAGGAAAGGAGGAAAATGAAGTGTCATAAAAAAAAAATGTATACAACAATATTAAGAAGGCAACAGAAATTATAAAAAAAAAGAGCTTAGTGGAAATCCTGGAGTATAAAAAACACAGTAACAAAAAAAAAAACCAAACACAAAGACTACTAAAGGAGGTCCCATGGTACAACACAGTAAATGGAAGGAAAAACAACCACCAAGCGATTTGCTGGTAATTCAGCTAATTGTGCAGTCTTGAGAGCAGAAAAAAAAAAGTATGAAAAGTAGGCAGGTACTAAATGAAATGTGGGAGACCATATACATACCCCCCAAAATTTTTTAAAAAAGAAAAGGTTCAAAGAAGTGGAAATGAGAATATTTGAAGAAATGGCTGAAAACTCCTCACATTTGATGAAAGAACCTGTACATCAAGAAGCTCAAAGTCTCTAAATAGGATAAACTCAAAAGATCCACTCTAAGACCCATTATAGTCAGATTGTAAAAAGCCAAACACAAGAGTCTAGAAAGGAGCATGGGAAAAGGAATAAATAACTCACAAGGGAAAAGCATAAAGATCAGGAAGGAATAGGATGACACTTCTAAAGTGCTGATGGGGGGGCTCATAACTGCCAATCAGGAATTGTACATAAAGCAAAATCATCATTCAAAAATACAGGAAAAGTTAAAAGATATCTAGATAAATAAAAACTAAGGTAGCTTTCACCAGAAGACCTGCTTAGAAGAAAGGCTAAAGTCACTCAGATTCAAATGAAAGCACAGCAGACAGTAACTTGAACGTCAAGAAAAAACAACACAGGTAAATCTACAAGCAAATTACACTGCTGTACAGCCATAATCCTAGTTACTCGGAAGGCTGAGGTAGGAGAATTCTGAGTTTGACGCTAGCCTAGTAGGCCAGTTATTGAGACCTTAACTCAAAAAAACAAAGAAAAGCAACAAAAACAACCCTCAAAAGCCTAAGGACTTAAGCACATTATAGTTCTGGTTTGTAACTCTTGTTTATATTTCACTTCTGTTAGTAGTAATCACCAGGGTAACCATTGAGGAAAAAAACCTTAAACCTGCACATGATATTTACAGTAGCTTTACTCATAAGCAAAAACCTGTAAGCAAGTCTTTCAGCAAATGCCCTTTAGTAGGTGAATGGATAAACTGGTTCATCCAAATGATGGAAAATTATTCCATGCTAAAAAGAAATGAGCTGCGAGCCATGAAAAGCAAGAAAATTTAAGTAAATAATACTAAATGAAAGTAAGCAAACCAAAATGACTACATACTGTATGAGTCCAACTATGAATTTTGGAAAAAAGCAAAACTACAGAAACAGAGGTTTCCAGGGTTTGGGAAGTTGGGGAAAGAAGCATGAATACAGAGAATACAGACGACTTTTACAGCAATAAAACAACTCTGTGATCCTCTAACGGTAGCTATATGTCATTGTTCAATATAGAATATACAATTCCAAGAGTGAAGATTAATGTAACCCATGGACTTTAGATGATAACTGTGTAAAGGCTCACCACTTACAGAAAAGTATACCAATCTGGCACAAGCGATGATGGTGAGGGAGGGGGCGTGCAAAGTTTGTGAAGAATCCTTATACTCTTTTTCTCCCCTGAACCTAAAACTACCCTAAAAAGTGAAGTTTATTAATTAAATATAAAAGGAAACAATTTTAAAAAAGAACTGGAAATAAACAAACAAAAAATAATACAGTAAGAATTTAGGAAAAAATAACATTTGTAGAAAACAGCAAGATGACAGAAACAAATTTTTTTGTATATAAAAAAATTTTTTTTTGCTCAGTTTGTGTAAAGGATCGTCTAAACTACTGGAATTGCCACCAGTGGTAGGTATGTCATTGTTATTGTGACCTCATTCTGTACCTGAATTTACCCTAAAAAAGGTGACTCATGGTAGACGCCCAGATAGTTTCAGGATGGTGGATGGCCATGCTGGAGCCCAAGTTATCAGCCTGACCTCCAGACCTTCCAGAGTATGATAGGAGGATTGACACTGAATTCAGTCACATGGCAATCATTCATTCAATCACATCTATTGAATAACAAAGTTCCAATAAAAACTCAAGACATCTGAAGCACAAGTGCATTTTCTAGTTGATAAGACAATAGCATGCTGTGATGGTAAAGTATCCTAAGTACATAAAATCTTCATGTTTAAGACATTCCTAGGTCTTGTCCTGTCTTTTCTTTTTGGCTGGTTTTAATCTGTACCCTTTAGAATGGAATTACAATAGTAAGTGTAGTGCTTTCCTAAGTGCTGAGTAGTTCTAGTGAATTGCTGAATGTGAGGAAGTAGTAGGCATTCTGAAATTCGAAATCAGGTGGTCACAGTGCTGGTGACTAGAGAACTCCAAGCCTGAAGCTTTTATCTAATGTCAGGCCAATCTTTTTGGGGAACTGTGCTGTAAATCAGTAAAATTTAACCAGTAGTTAGCATCAGAATTTATTGAATCTTACCTATATCTTAAATATATATAGATGGCAATATTCAACTAAAGGCAGATTGGTAAAATGGATTAAAACTGGATCAACTCCATGTTACTTAAAAGGATTCATACCCAAATATACATATGAACTGAAAGTGAAAGGGTAGGAAATGATAGTCAATGCAAACAATAACCAAAAGAACAGAGATGGTGTCATGGTTTATGTCTGTGTCCCCCAGGCCTCATGAGTTTGAACTGTGCATTTGTGATTAGTTCACTGTCTAGTGCTTACATTAATGGTGTCAGTTCTCCACCTACACAGGGGTGGAGCCAGGATGTGATGTAATGGCAGGAAGAAGGTGTGTCTTGCTTTTCGCTAGTTCCAGCTTGCTGTTTGCAGCCTCCATGAACTGCAGCCCAGCCATGCCCGCCTGCCTTAGAGCCAAGTGAGTGTGGACTGAAACCTCCAAAAGCTGTAAGAAATAAATCTTTTCTTTCCTAAATTTGGGCTTCAGGTATTTTGTCTCAGTGACAAGTAAAAAGTAACTAAGACAGATGGCTACACTAATGTTAAACAAGGTAAGACTTTAAATAGTTTGTTATAGGAGATAAAGGATATTATATCTTAATAAGAGCCTATTCATCAAGAAGACATAACAATAACAAACATACAGTATATCTACCAGAGCATCAAAATACATGGAACAAAAATTTACACAACTGAAGGAAGATATGGACAGTTGCAAGAGACAATGATTACTACTACTACATTAAGAGAAGAGCAGAGAAATTATGAAATGTAAACTTATGTAGCATCTATGAAAAAATTGTAATGGTTTCTCAAAAATTTAGGTATAGTTACAACTTCATAATTACATCCCAAGCATACTATATATCCTCCAAAATTTAAGAGGTGCTCAAAAACCTGCATGAAAATGTTCATAGTGACATCATTCAAAAAGCAGTCAAGCATTCAAATAGTGAAAAAGTAGAAAGAACCTGAATGTCCTGACAAAACAATAAACAAAAAACAAAATATTTGGTATGTATCCATAAAATGGATATTATTCAGTCATAAAAGCAATGAGGTAATAATACGTTATACCATGAATGAACCTTGAGAACATTATACTAAGTGAAATAAACTAGATGCAAAAAAAAAAAATCACAGATTACTTAATCTCATTTAAATAAAATTATCTAGAATAGGCAAACAGAAAAGGACAAATAGCTAATTGGTGACTATAAAAGTTTGGGAGGAAATGAGAGTAGGTGGGTAGTTAATGTATATTGGTTTCCATTTTGGGTAATGTAAGTGCCTGGAACTACAGTGCTGATACAACATTATAAATACACCAAATGGCTTCAGACTGAATACTATCAAATGGTTAAAGTAATAAATTTTATGTTATATAAATATTACCATCGTTTTTACAACACTTTATGTTCCCTCAAATATTGTCTTCTTAGTACGTTTGTGACACAATGATTCTTGTGAGTTGATACCCCACATATCACATCTTAGTCCTTTTTACTACCTTTTCCTTTTCCTTCCCATCTCTAGGATACTCTTCCATCTGCAAAATGTCCATCTCTCTGTTTCTATTTTTTATTTTACTCTTTACTTCTACTTAGTCATATACGAGAAACCATGCAATATTTAAGCTTGTGTGTTGACTAATTCTAATTAGAATTATAGATTTATGGTGTATCCATTTTGCTATGACTCAAACAGCTTCTTCTGTGTGGCTATATAGTACTCCATTGTGCATGTTACCACATTTTCTTTATCATTTTATCTGCTCATGGATAAATAGGCTGTTTCCAAGATCTAGCAACTGTGAGTTATAAACTTGGGTATATGTGTATCATGTAATATGATGTTTTTAACTCTTTTGATACAAAAGAGGTATATCTAGGTCAAATGGAATTTGTACTTTTAGTTTTTTGAAGAAATCCTGTATTCATTATCCACAGTGGTTGTAAAAAGGGTTTCATTTTCCCCAAACCTTGCCAGTGTCTCATTTTTTGAGTTCAGAATGATCCCCATTCTTTCTGTAATAAGATAGAATCTCAGCATTGTTTTGATTTGCATTTCTCTAATGGATTATTTTCCTAATTATTATATTAATCCAGAACCAGATACAGACAAAACATGAAAAAAAAATAGCTGCATATTACATACCTGTTAAAGCTGCTGGTTTGGACAGTGTACTGTATTGGTTTTGTGTGGAGATTACACTTTGCCGGGGACTTAGTGTTGGTGATGTAACAAGTGAAAGCTCCTCAATAATAATACTGCTTTTGGGATGATTCTTGGGAAGTTCATTTAATCTTTGCTCTAATGAATACTTTAGAAGATCCAACTTTTGACTTGATTCATTAAATCTTGCTTGAGCCTTCCAAGGGAAAAAATAATTGTCATTTAAATAATCACACTCTTTAAATAATACATTTAATAAACAAACTAAAATATTTAAAATTACTTCTGAAAGTGCTTTTCTGTCTGTTACTTTTCCTGAGCCAAGTAATTTCATTACATTCTTTGCACCTTCTGCTACTGCAAACTCTATCCTAAAATGATGCCTTAATTCTTCCATTCGAAGTTCAAGAGGGCTTATCACAGGTTTTGCTATTGGGGAAGAAAAAAACAAACATTATTTGAACCATTTATTTGACTTTTTAACATGCAGTGATTGAAAACTGAAAAATAACCATTTCTTATGACATTAAAAGTTTAAAAATCAATAAATACTGAAGTAAAAGAGACACAGGTTGAAATGTAACGCTTTCCATTTTAGCCATTATATAGTGAATTAACAAATCTACAAATAAGAATTTAGAACTAAAGATATTGCTATATGATCACATCAGACCAAAACACAATTGTTCTCTGTATCTGCAGGTTCAAGATAATCTGACCACCTCAGAATTAACAATGTTTGGGGGGAACAATGGCCTCCTGACAACCTTTTTCCCTGTCAGTATTCCCCCAAACAATACATTAACTACCTGCATACCACTGACATTGTATTAGACATTACAGGTAATCAATTTAAAGAGTGAAGATGGTATATATTATGTGAAAGTATCAGACCATTTTATACTTTTATATAAAGGACTTATGTATTCATGGATTCTGGTATCCATCAGAATCCTGGAACCAATCTCCCAAACATACTGAGGGATAAGTGTAGTTTCTGGCCCTACTTCTGTCAAATACCTGTAAGTATTCCTTTTGGAATTAAAAAACAAAACAAAACCAGAAAGGCAAAACAATACTTTCAAACAGGCAACAGATTTTTAAAAAACAATTAGAATTTTTTTAAAGATGAATACATGGCCAAGTGTAGTAGTGGCTCACATCTATAATCTAATTTGGGGCTGAGGCAAAAGCTTTTGTGGAAAATTTAGCAAGGCTCTCTCTCAAAGTAAAAAATTTAAAGGGCTGAAAGCAGCAGTACTTGCCTAATATGATAGAGGCCCTGGCTTTAGTCTCAAGAAAACACACACACATACCCCTGTAAAACTAAGAAATACATTCTTGTTTTCCTCCTTTCTTTTGTGGTACTGGAAAATTGAACCCAGGCTCTCTGCGTTGAGCTATATTGCCAGAACTTTTCTAATTTTTGAATTTTTAAACAAGGTCTCACTAAATCGCTAAGCTGCCCAGTGTGGGCTTGAACTTGTGATCTTCTGCCCCACCTCCTAGAATGCTGACATGCACTACCACACCAGACTAAGAAATATATTCTTTATCAGTATCTTCTTGAAATATGAGGGTCAAAATCTGAAAGTGTAATATTCAAGATAAAACAATATAGTGTCACACTCTCTTAATTTGAAGCACTCTTTCCTATGCAACACTAAGTCAACACTATGCTCATAAAAGAACATTGACAGTTTATGTCTATTCCATCACCATTATCAAAAGCCAATTCATTGGTCTGGACTGCCTGAAGAATCTGCATTCGTATGACTTCTATTTTTGTCTTGCTGTCCTGGAGCAGCTGCTGAGCAGTACCATGGAGTTTCCGATCCTATTAAAAGTAAGTTTGAAAAAAACACTTTCATATCTTTTAAATAGATCAGTTGATATATCAGCAAGTGAAAAGCAGTTAAAACATTTGTAATGTAATATAACAACAACATAATATAAAACTTACATTATGATAACTGAGAAAAACAACTCCATTAGGTAAGATAATCTGAGCAAAAAACCAAGAGAACCTTATTGCTGTTTTTAAAATTAAATAATTATATGCAGAGTCTGCCAAAAAAGTAATCAGAAAAAGAAAAGCTTATATAAATATCTTAATGCTAAATGTACTGAGATATCATGAGCTTAACACAAGTTACTTTTGGCCTCTGCAATTACAAGAGGCTCTAAAAGTGGAGGTCCTTAAATCCAGACATTTACTAGTATGGTCAGCTGCTGAAGTGTGGTACATTTTTTTGACGGTCTCTTTTTGTCTTTCGATATATATACACACCTTAGGCATGCAAAACAATGCTTAGTAATTACATATATAAAAAGTATGTATATATTTATATATATGCTTACTACAAACTAATTTTCATCTTTACCTTTCATAGTAACCTTCTTTATGTATGTGTGTATTAAAAGGCACCTAAAATCTACTCTTAGTATGAAATATTATAGTCCTCATACATATGAGATCTCCATACTTATTCATCATAACCTAACTGTAAATTTTTACCCTGTAACCTGCTTACCCCATTTCTTCTTATCCTGGGGACCACCACTCTGCACTGTTTCTATTTATTCAACTTTAGTTTTTAATAGTCTATGTATAAATACAATCATATATTATTTTTATTTCTTTGTTTTGTTTCACAGAATACCCTCCACATTCTTCCAAATTAGCACAAATGGCAGTATGCCCTTTTTGAAGACTGAATAACACTTCACTGTGTATGTTATATGTGTACTACACAATTTCTTTACTCATCTGATGACAGGTAATGAAGGTTGATTGACTCTCATTACTTTTTAAAAGCAAACCAAATCCAAAGTTACATTTGTAATTTCCTCTTGCCTTTTGCTTTATAAAAACAAAATACAATGCATTCTACTTTATTCTGATCAATAACTTTCCAACTTAAAAGCATGTAATGGGTATCTCTGTGAATAAATCTAAAACATTTAGATGACCTCTTTTCTATGATGACAGCTAAATCAGGGAATTCACATATGAAGACAAAACACAGTTAATTACAGACGGCATTTTCAAAATGTTCACTTAAAATTCTGCTTTACAAAAAGACAAACATATAAAATAGCATGTTAACAATAGTGACCATCTTTGAATATCAAAAATAAAGAGATCTCAATAAAGCTGAAGAGAAAGTTAAAATTCTGTCATCTCTTAAAATTTCAACAGAGCCAGCACTTGGGAGGCAGGGCAAATGCCTGGGCCGCATAGTAAGTTCAAGAAGACTAAACTTCATGAGACTTCTTCTTAAAAAAACCAAAAGATTTCAACAAAGGTAGTAAATTAAATGAAATAATGTTTCCACTACACCTTTATTTAGTTCCATTAACACTGAATGCAAATGATGGAGGAACTATAGTAGCCTAAATAATGGCTTACTCATAGATGATCATCTTCTAATCCCGGAACTTTGTTAATGCTACCTTACATGCAAAAGGGATTTAACTCAGCAAATTGAAATGAGACTACCAATTATTTGACCCTGGATTACAGATGTAGGACCAATGTAATCAAAGGGTCTTCAAAGGTTCAAGAAGGAAGCAGAAGAGGTTAGAGTGATGTGATGAGAGAACTCAACCTACTGTTGGCTAGCTTGGAAGACAGAGAATCATGATCCAGAAAAGGCAAGGAAACATTATTGTCAGAATCCTTCAAAAGGGCACACAGCCCTGTCAATACCTTGATTTTAGTTCTGTGAGATTTATTTCAGACAAAATAACTGCAAAAACTGTAACAAATTTTGCAGTATGTGATGTTCACATTCTTTGGAACTGGTATATGCACTGAACACATTTAACTTCTGTCTTCATCCTTTCCCTTCTTCCATCTGTCTCTTGATTTCCTTCTCATGTGAGTAATTTATTTTGGTCTTTATTTATACTTTGGGTTTTTCAAGACAGCACATGGTATTTAAGCCTGTGTGTCTGATTCATTTTATTTAACATTATAGTCTCAAGGTGCATCCATTTCCCTACAACTGACTCAAGTTTATCTTCCTTTATTATGTTGCTTTAAACCACTAAATTTGTGATAATTTGTTACAGCAACCTTAGAAAACAAATAGAAAGTTTACCAAGTATTGAGAACGTTATCTCTGTCTTTGAAAATTGCATTAGTGGGTATCTACAAATAAAGAAATTAATACATAAAACAGAGTCAAAATTAAGAAGTACTTATGCATTAGGAGGGTCAAACTTTACAAATTATTTAGGCATCTTTACTTTTACCAATAAAACAATTTTTTGAAATCGAAATTTATTGAACACTTATTAACTGCCAAATTATACTATACATATAACACCTTAATTTGGAAATAAAATAGCATGTAATCAATCTCTACTTTGTAGGCAATTCAAGACCAACCTGAGATAAGAATTATTTGGGCAGCACATTTTTAATAAATCAAGCACTCAGATATACTATATGATACTGTATAGAAGGCAACAGAGATATGAATGATGGAGTGGTAATTTTGTCTATATATAACTGCAAGAAAAGTGAGCTATAACGTAGTCTGCTAAAACCAAACTCCATGAAAGAAAAAAAGTCGATTTGCAAACTTACAGTTTTTCTTCCATTTTTTTCTTAATCGCTAAAGTCAGTTGCTTTAAGAAGATTACTGTCAGATTTTATTCTTTAATTGAATTTTTGGAGTATCAATTTATGCTATGAAGTAGACATAAACACACACATACACATTTTCCTTAATAAGGACACTAGCTTGCTCAGTGTTTCCATATGACAACTACACATACTAAAATAATAAGTATTTCTTTCCCGGCAAGAGGAAAAGCACATAAAAAGAATTAAGATATATATATATATATATATATATATATATATATCAACTCCCCATAATGAAGGTAATCATAATGTACTGTAAACATGAATGACCAAAAATCAAAAATAAATATTCTCCTTCCAAACTTAAAATTACTTACTGTAATTCTTCTATCTATCTACTATAAGGAACATCAGATAAACCAAAGATTTAAAATAACTATCTAAGAGAAAAACTTAGTATCCCAAAACTCAATTTAATGAAATAAATATATTTTACAATTAGATTGGTATGATTCCAAATTGCTTTGTATGTAAAACTGGCTATTTTCAGAAAGTCTTAGGTTTCCTAGGGGCTGGGGATTTAGCTCAGTGGCATAAGCACCTGCCGCTTGCAAGCAGGCAGTTGTGAGTTTGATCCCTGGTACCGATAAAAAAAAAAAAAAAAAGGAAGAAAGTCTTGGTTTCTTGCAGAAATTATGTAAAAGGGGATACCACTTTGTAAAATACAGAGCTCTTATAAGCATCAGATAATACTAGAATTATATTGCTTGGCATTTAACTGACCTTAAAACATTATCCTTTAGGCCCATAAAATAATAATAATCTTATTTCAGTAAAGTTCTAACGTAAAAATATAAATATTAAAAAAACCATACAGTTGTAATACTAGGTTTTTAAATTAAGTTATAACTTTTATTTTATTGCTATATGAAATAACAGTAGGTTTCACATCAGTTTTTTGGAAATACTACTTTTATTAACTATTTCAATTCAGAATGTAAAGTATAGCACTGGTATTTTACTTAAAAAGTGATTTTCTCCCTGTAGATTTCTGGAGGATGCACACAAATATCAAAGCATGATGAAAACTCTTAAAGCTGACTTGAGATTTTACCTATCAGAGACAATGTACAGTTACTATATCAGTTTTATGCTTTCTTGCATGCAATGAATTTTTTTATTGAGCACCTAATATGTAGAAGGAGATAAGGTGGACTCAAAATATATAAAATTATTTACATATTTAAGAATTACTGATTTTTATAAATACTCAGGGAAAATGTTTATGCATTTTTGCTGAACCACATGAAAATGTTAATATTTAACTGATTTTGAACTACGAAACAGCAATTTCATATGGTCCAATCACCATATCACTCCAAAGTGCCTGATGATTATATCTGGAATGTGTAACAGCAGCAAAAACTATAGATTTTATGATTTTTAAGTCCATGGTGGATAATAGGACAACACTTGCATATAACTTTCAAATAAGTGAGCCAATCATTGTCTTCATTTTTCCACCCCATATTTATGGCTTACTTTCCATATGTTAAACATTGTCAATTCCAGTAAAAATGCAAATAGTAGTCAGGATGCTGCTCTTTTGAAGGTTATAGTCTTATAAAACAGACATAGCTAATTACATATGCATCAGAAAGTTAAAAGCAGATGAAGGAAATTTCAAATGAAAGTGAGCCTAGTTTTCCACTGGTGGAATTCAGAGTTTTTCTTAGTTATTAGTGTAGATAAGCCTGAAATATGCCCAGAATGAAAGAATTCTTGTGTTTTTAACACACACATACACACATACCCCGAATCAACCCAAACCAAACAACATGACAATGACCAAAAAAAAAAAACCTCATAAAGAGCAAGTATCTTGACTGTGGTGATGGTATATGTATGTGTGTGTGTGTCCCCAATATTTATGTCCATGAATTAGATCATAATAAAACTAGTGACTAAAGTGTTGGAGGTTGAACCCTGATAGATAGGCATATTTGAATGAGTAAAAAGTATGAGCTATTTTGGGAGCAAAAATGCTATAAGAAAGGGTACAAAATACTAGAAAGAACCCTAGATTTCAATAAATAGCTGGATTTGTTATCTCAATATATGAACAGGAGACATCCCTTCAACATGCTTGTCAAATTCTCAGAGATCACTGTAAAAAATCAATGGTGCTAAGAGGTACAAACACTCAGTGAAGAAATGCCAAGACATACTATTCCCTAGAAAGCAGACAGAGTAAAACAGTTGCATCACATCGCTCAGACTGTGAATAATCAAAACATCTTAATATATAAGGGAGAAAATGAAAATAATTATATACAAATATGAAACAAAGAACATTGCGTAAATTTCATGTTAACAGAAGATAAGTGGTAATAAATGGTACAGCAGTACTATTTGTACTAAAATATATTATTGTACTAAATATTGTTCTGATTACTGAAGCTACAGTGATAACCAAGACAATGTCACTCACTGGCAGCAGGTAAGGTGGTACACACCTGCATCCTAGCAGTCTTGGAGACTCAGGCAAGTAAAATCAATGGCCCACATGAGCTCTGCATTCTAACACTGAAAACAGATGATAAAGAAGTTGCTCATGGGATGTAGTAAGGGGCAAGAAGACAAGGATTACTTCAAATAGTGGTGAAGAGTTAATTGAGGGGGTAGCTACAGAACAAAGACATTAATGAAGTGAGAATAAGCCATGAAAATATTTAGAAGAAATATTTAGAAAACAATACAGCAAGCATAGGGGTCTGAGGTTAGACTACTTGCTATAAAGAATAACAAAACAGCCAGTGTAGCTAGTGTAATGGTAGACAAAAGTATTTTTAGAAGATGAAATTAAAAAACAGCCAACGGTAAACCATGTGTGGTTCTTTAGAGTCAGATTAAACACTGTATTTTATTCTAAGTATGATACAAATCCATTCAAGAATTGTATTACCTTTCAGCTGCTGGGACAAAATATCTGACATACGTAACTTAGAGGAGAAAATGTTTATTTTAATTCATGGTCACATGGTTCCAAGGCAGAAACATGGCAGAGGGCCATGCAAATGAAAGATACCCCCTGGAGGTAGCCAAAAGCAGAGAGAAAGCAAGAACCCAAAAGGAGGAAGTTGGGCAACATCCCCAGGGTCAGTCATGTCTTACCCAGATACATGGGGGAGTGCTATCTTACTTTCCTAAGCATCTTTCAAGCTGATCAAGTTGAAAGTCAAGATTAACCATCAAAGAATTTCTAACAGAGACTGACAATAATATGGCAGATTTAAAAAAAACATTTTTTTTTTTTTTTTTTTAAGACAGGGCCTCATGATATAGCCCAGGCTGGCCTTGAACTCACAGTGATCCTCCTGCCTCAGCCTCTTGAGTGCTGGGGTTGTAGATATGAGCAATCATGCTTGGTGTATGCAAATTTTAAAAGGATAACTCTGGCTACATTTTGTAGAGGTCTGATAATTTTATCATATAGGCTGTAACAACAGGAGTTCTGAAGAAAACTACTGCCAAACTGAATTTTATCACTGTTGACTAAATTTTTTCCTGTGAGCTCCCTATCATTACAAAGGACATAATCCATCAAACTACTCATGTAACCAAGCTAAGAATCATATTTTACTTCTTTCTTCCTAAATATCAAGATGCCAACAGCTTCACTGTCTTTGTTTTCACTGCTGCTACACGACAGATGAAGCTGTTTAGCCTGGATTGTTAAAAGAGCTTGCTGGGCTGGGGATTTAGCTCAGCGGCAATAAGCGCCTGCCTTGGAAGCAGGCAGTCGTGAGTTCGATCCCTGGTACCGATAAAAAGGAAAAAGACAAAAAAAAAAAAAAAAAAAGAGCTTGCTTAAACTTGCTGTCTGTAGACTAAAGATGGATGGATGTGAAATACACATATTTTCCTTGCTAAAAATCTTTCAGCAGCTCCACATATCGTATAAGATAGAATCTTAACAACTTAATTTTGTATTGGATAATATGGTTTGTCATTTAGTTGTACTGTATCTTGAGCTATGCCTTACGCACTTAGAGACATACTAATGGAGAAAGGAGGAAAAGTCCTGTTGTAGTAATCTACAGAAAATTTCCCAAACAAATTATCCTTTTCTGGATAGTCAAATTTGTTGTTCTATGAAGGCAGGGCCTTTCATTAAAAATGAGTGCTAGAGCTGAGTTAATAAGTGGGTTTTTGTTTTGTTTTGTTTCCTGAAACAGGGTCTTACTATCCTGTTGATGCTGGCCTCAAACTCAAATTTGTGGTAATCCTGCTTTGGCCTTTTGACTGCTGGAATTTCATGCATGCACCAATACACCAGACTTAGTATTGATAATGGTTAATATTAGAAGTGTCTGTCAAAATGAAAACATGAATCTATGCATCAATAAGCACTAATAAAAATTTTGAAAAATATTATGTGCATTCTATCTATTCTTAGATATATTAGGCAAAAACTACACTAAGAACTTATGAGATAGCCGTAACAAACACTTCCTTTTCTTAGAACAGGTCATGCTATTCCACAGTTTCTTACTGCACATATACTGGCTTTACCCATATTATCAACCCTAGAACGTAATTCCTTCTTAAATGGCAAATCATCTTTCAGTTCTCACATTAAGACTTAAATGATTTCTTCTGGCAGTAATGTGATCTTTATTCAGGGTGTTTCCAAAGTAACTTAAACAATTATATACAGGCAGTATTTCCTTTATCAGACAGTGGGTCTCCCAATGCAAGATACTATCTGTTGAGTAGCAATTATGAATAAGACACAATCACATTTATATCCCAGAGCCTAGCATGTCTATTAAACTGTTAAACCCTTAATGAGTATTCCGACAATTTCAATTAAATCTTCCCTATCTCATAAAGATGTATTCTCCATTCTTTTGAGAAGTTTAAAGATGGGAAATGAAAACTGAAGACAGAAACAACTGGCAGGTCTACCTGAGAGCCAATAGTAACCTATCATAGGCTTCGGACTTCCACTTGAGTCCTTTGCAAATTAATCAATCTCCTTCTTAAAAATAAAAAAAAAAAAAAAGTTACAGGAAAATTATGTACTTATTTTAGCAGGATGTAACAGCCCTGTTTATTTTGAACCTGTGTTTACTGTAACATCATTTATCCCCTTTTTTTGTACTTCTAGTGTATCTGTAACTCTGTTTAATCTAGAGCAGTGGTTATTAATCTTGTGGGAATTAGAGATCACTCTAAGAGTACAATAATACTTATGGCCCTCTCCTCCATCCAGTTGTTATACACACTAGCTCTTCACATAACTTCAAAGAGTTCTTAAATTCCTCAAAGTAATCTGTCAATATTAAATTTTTAAAAACCTTATTACAGATGGCAGTAAATAGCTTAAATTTTAAAATAGTGTCAAGTATTACAATCTCAATTCCAATAACAGTTTTGTTAAAAAGTCCAAAAATATGTGCTTGCTTCAGCAGTATACATACTAAAAAGTCCAAAAATATTTTATAAAACTAAAAAATTTCCAAAACTAAAGGTCATTACTAAAAAAAAAAAAAAATACACAGAAAATAACTGCCATTCAACAAAGGTTAGTGAAATAATGTCCTAAAAGAAACAACAATATACTTTTCTGGAAGCAACAAAAGCCAGGTGTGGTAACTATGCCTATAATTCTAGCATTCAACTGAGGCATGAGGATTGCAAGTTTGAGACTAGCCTGGGCTAAAATAGTGAGTTCAAGATCTTCATGGGCTATTTTAGGAATCTGTCTTAGAATATAAATTAAAAAACAGTAGCAATTCCTCTAAAACTCTTTTGAAATATGACATAAAATCTAGCTTTCTTTTTTATCGGTACTGGGATCGAACTCACGACTGCCTGCTTGCAAGGCAGGTGCTTATGCCGCTGAGCTAAATCCCCAGTCCCCACATCTAGCTTTCTTAATCTTAAAAATTTTAGTTAGAAAACATACATATTTCTCTTTTTCAGTATCTTCCAAAGTTTTAATATGGTGGGATGCTGTGATGTATGACTTTATGAACTTTCCCTGATTTCAAATTTTTTCTACCATGCAACAAAAATATAGTACAACTTTTATTTTCAAATTACTTAAGACATACCCACGAAGATATGAAGAAGCACTGATTTAGAAAGGTAAAAATCTTTAAAAGAATTGAGGCAGGGCATGGTGCTGCATGCCTGTAATCCCAGCATTCAAGAGGCTAAGGCAGGTGGATCACTGTAAGTTCAAGGCCAGCTTAGGCTAAAAAGTGAGCTCAAGGTCAGCTTAAAATGCATAGTGTAATCCTCTCTCAAAAGGACAAAGAACTGAAAGTGGGAGGCTAGGTTTTCATAACAGATACATTTATCTCAGAACTTTTAAGAATTGCTAAAGCTATATAACTTTATGTTGAAAGAACTTTTAGGATAATCTGGTTCAGTAGTTTCCAACATTTTTTCTTTCACATTAAATGAAGATTTTCATTAGTAAAAAGTGCTTCCCATAACACTGATTTTTATAAGGGATTTATAACCCTATACTAGAACTCCAGGAATGTATAGTTCTAAGTCAGGTAATCACTGATACTAGAATGTTCTTTTTATTTTCCTTTTGCTAAAAATCTATGTATTCATGAACGGCACATCACAGCCTAAAGTTTTAAAATAATCTTTCTGTCTTAAAATAACTTTAGATTCACAGAAAAGGTCCAAATATAGAGAACTATATACTGTTTAATCATATAATCAAATTTTTGATTGGGTTTTGGTAGGAATAAGCAATTTTTGAAATACTGATTAAAAAAAATTTTTTTTGGCCTATACTTTCTAACTATGAGGCTAACATGGTTTCAGAAATATTTACTGTTTTAAACACTGAAATTACTAAACAAAATGTGTCATACAGGCTTACAAATTATAATTTTAGCAAGTAGATGAATTCACAAAAATGGATCCTGCAAACTGAGACTTGACTTTTATTTACTGTACTTACCTTTGAAGAACCATTTGAATACATCTGTATCATGTTTTCTGCACCTTGTTTTACTTTAAGTTCTATATCTAATTGTTTTTGTAAGGCCATCAATCTATTATTGCTAGTAGAACAACGAGGGTCACTATTTGGAGTATCTGGAGTCCTTGGACAATCTGTGAATAAAATGTTAAAGTTACTTATTAGGATCAACTGCAGCTTAGAATGAGACTTTAATATTTTTAAAGCCTAATGAGAAGGGTTTGAAATGAGCCTGAAGTCACCTAAATGGATCTCCTTTTGCTTACAGATAATAAAAAAACTCAATGAATCCAAGCAAAGGCAATATCTGAGTTGTTGGACCACCTGCTAGGATAATATCCAATTCTTATGGAAGAGTCTGAAATCGAATGAGGTTATTGTCCGAGATTTTCCTAACATTATGATTTCTAAATTAAATTAAATTAAAGCAATTTGACTAGTTTATTCAGCAATTAAATTCCCTATTTATCACCTGATTGGCTAGGAAAGAATGTATATTCAAACATTATACAAATTCCATAAAGGTAATTTTTTGTAAACAGAATAGTTCTTGAAATACAGTGCTTGCATCAAATAGTCATAATTTAAGCATAAGCATACAAACCTTCACATTTTGTTTTCCACTACACAGATTATTCAATAACAATGGAAAATGTTTCAAAGACTAAGTGACGGATAAAAACTATTGGTAGGAAGGTAAAGGAAGACCAAACACTGCAGCCTGCCAAATATAAAGAACATCATGCTACGTATACATAAAAACCAAAAAATCCAAAATGAACCACTGAATTATTCTGAGTAATCCACTTCTAATAACTGTACTATGTAACTAAATAATGAAGTTTATTATTTTGTTTTTATCTATACTAGCTCTCCATCTTGTAAAAATGCTAGAAGATCAGGATACTATACCTGTTTTACGTGATAAGAAATTAGGTAATCACTAAATAGCTGCTTAACAATGTGCTAGGGATTTTCTTTTCTCTTATGCAAGGTAAGACGTAGTAACTAATCTATTTAAATAAATATATTTCATATTTGTATTCTTTGAAAAAATTCACTAGTTGGACACCAGGAAAACATTATTTCTTAACATACAAGGAGCGACCAAAAATGTTGTGAATATTGAAATTTAAAAATTCTCAATATATTTTATATACACATATATATTATAGTAAAACACAGCACCATGAATCACCTTCTAAATACTCCCCCTCACTTTGAGCACACTTCTCCCATCCTTGCTTCTTTCTAAAGCAGCTTTGGAAGTTCTTCTTTGTGTCTTTTCAAGCAATGATAAAAAACAGTGAATGCTGCTGCCACGTGCCATCCAATGGAAAGGCTGGCTTGTGAAACATGGTGCGCTTTCATCCATCTCATTCATTGGATCTGGCACCAAGTAACTTCTGGCTCTCCCTCAAAGGCAAAAGTTTACAGACATACAAGTTACTTAACAGCTCTATGCCTCACTGTCTTCATCTGTTAAAGAACTGGTAAATATCATGTACTCTGTAAGAGTATTGTGAAAATTAAATAAGTTATGTGCAGAGCTTAGGCAAAGGTGTGATGTATGGTAAATATTCAATAAATACTGACTGTACTTGAGTAGGAAGTGTGAGCTTATTTCTGTTGAGTCCATTATGATAAACAGTACAGATGTGGGAACACTTTTGATTTGTTTTTACTATGTTACTGTTTAAGAGTTGTAACTACACAGAAACTGGCACATAGTTTATAAAAGAACTGGATTGCATGCAGGGTAGAATGCATCAGTTGAGAAGAGTATAAAAATGTATTGTTTGTGAAATAAGTTGTTTGGCCTAAAATGAGGGGAGTAATGATTCCTGCTCAAAATTTAAACATTTTTTTTGAAATGAAATGAAAATTGTCCTATTTCCCTATAGGACAGAGAATCAAATTCAGTAAGTGAAAGTTAATATTGGCAAGAAATGTATCACAAGAAAAAGCAAAATTCCTTACAGTTTGGGTTATCTAACAATTAAACGATTTGCCTTAAAATATAATAGACTTCTTTGGTAGATATACTATATAATGAATTCTTATACACTACAGCAGGTTGTACCAGGACACTGAAATATCCACTGACCTAAGTCTATGGGGGTTGTAAAAAAACATAATACTATCACTGTTCTTATGGAAAAGTATGTTCTGAGTTTTGATAAGGTTTATGAGAACAGAGGAATAACAATAATCAAGAGGCTGGGCTCTGAGTTCAGAATAACTTGGTTAAGTGGCTATGATGGTTTTGATTTCATATTTCATGTTTCTATGTTGTAGTTACTACTCTTTTTTTGAGACAGGTCTGCCTATGTAGTTCAGGTTGGCACTGCGTTCACCATGTAGCCCATACTGGCCTTGAACTCATGGCAATCTCTTGCCTCAGCCTCCTAAGTGCCATGATTATAGGGGTGCATAACCTCGCCTGCCTTATGCTGCAGTTTTACAGTCACAAAGAAAAAGCCTGTAGAGTGCTTAGATCATTGCTTAAAACATACTAAGAGCTTAAAAAACTTACTAGACAAAGTTTAGCAAAACAGCTAGAATGTCCAGTCATTTAATCTTCACAAAAACTCAGGAACTCTTAATGTACCCTTTTAACAAATGCCCCCCCTACAAATCCACCAGCAACTCTTAGAAATAATGTGCAAAAGTCACAAAATATATGTCAAAGTAGACCTTAGATATGTCTCATTTTAGTCTTTTTTATTTTCATTTAGAAATTAGAGAAATACTTTGCTGTCATCCATGGATTTTACCTGTTTCCTTAAACCTGCATTTTAAATTTTTACTTGCTATTTTCTTCTCTCCAGTTTCCTTCCTTGTAGGCTGTAAGTTATAGGAAACATAGCTACCAACATATGTGCTAAACTCTTGTCTTAATAGTGAAATACATTTCAAAATAGGATTAACTAGAACTCCTTATTAATGTTCTCTCCAGTCAACAAAAAGAAATTAAAAACAAACTTAGTCAATGAAATCCTTTTCATTCTAAGTGAAAAGTATAAAAAGAACAAGCCCTCCCTGCAAGTTGGCACCATGCATGGGCCGCTAAGTGGAGAACCAGATGCCAGCCCTTTCCTATGAGTTGGTGCCATTTGTGGACTGCAGGGAAGGAGAACTTAGAAGCCAACAAGCCAAGCCCTCTTTGCAGGTTGGCACCTGCAGGGAGAACCAGACAACAGCCCTTTCCCACAAGTCAGTGCCATTCAGACTACAGGGGAGAAAAAAAAGCCAAGCCTTCTCTGAGGGTCAGTGCCATGTACCAGCCACTGTGGGGAGAACCAGAAGCCTGCCCTATCCCATGAGTCAGCAATATTTGCAGACAGCAGGGGAGGAGAAGTCAACAAGAAGTCAAGCCCTCCCTGAGAGCTGGTGCCACATGCGGGCCACTATTGGGGGCAGAGTGTGACGCAAGCCCCTTCAAGCCCCTTCTGGTGCGCAGGCTGGGAGATGAAAAGAACCAGGGTGTTCTCCCACCCACTTGATGGTCTGCAACAGGTCATCAAGTGGGTGGGAGACAAGCTGTGATTGCTAATAGCTGTTGAGGAAAAATACAACTTAACGCTTGTAGTGTTTAGTGTTTTATTGACTTTGCAGGCCTAAACCCGGTGGTCTGTTCATCTATTCAAAGGTAATAAGCAATGTAGCATCTAGGGGGATCTCCTTCTGAAGGTGGTGGCCTTTCTTAATTCCCTAATACCTTGTTTTTAAGTCCTGTATCATTTTCATTGTTTTGTTTGGCTGGGGTTTTATTCTGTTTTGTCTGGTTTCATTTTATTGTGTCTGATGCTATGGGCAGCTGTTTCAAAGATAACAAGGTATATTATGGTAGCGGTTTTGGTCTTATCATTATCTTGTTTTGAAGTCCTTTATTGCATTCATTGTTTTATTTTCTTGGTTCTATTCTGTTCTGTTTGATTTTTACTGTCTGAAGGTTTGGGCAGCTATATTTTGGTTTTCATTTGGTACTTTTAAATTAGTATTTTAAAAATAAATTGCTAAAAAATTGTGCTATGTGTTACAGTTATATGAACTATTTATTCTCTCTCAAGTCCAGTTTTTTAAATCAGATATGCCTGTGTTTTATAGCCACTTGGAACCTGCTAAAATTAAAATGAATACTTATTACTCATGGGTGTTTAATTACTTACTTTGTCTACTCAGGATGACACTTGTCAGATGTCAACAACTTAAGTGATTTTGCTTAATACAATCTCTGGTTTAGCTTTCTTAATGCATTAAAGACAATGATGATAGGTAAGACTGGTTGTGACAAGTTTTGTTTAAGGTACAAGCAACTAAGGTATTAAAAAATTTAAAGCTACCTGCATCTGTTGTATTTTACTTTTTGAAAACTATAAATAGCATGTCCTAGTAGAGACTTCTTCATTCTGTATATAACTCTGAGCCTGGTGAATGCATAGTACTTTTACTCTTCAATATTTTTCTTCTTTGTCCCCTCTGGTGATGACAATGTGTACTATTAACCAATATACACCTCTTATACTGGTTTAAAAACATATTAGCAATACCAAATACTGGAGAAGAGGTGAAACAAATGTAACTCTCATGCATTGCTGGTGGAACTGAAAACTAATACAGCCACTCGGGAAGACATTTTCTGTTTCCTGCAATGATAAACACATTCTACCACGTGACTTACCAATCCTGCTTCTTACAACTTTTGTTGATGTAAGAACTGGCTCATTTATAAAAGCTTTATTAATGAATTGTCCCAAACTGGAAGCAACCCTAATGTGCATAATACAATGAATTCTCCCCAGGGAATTAAAAAAAACAAAACAACTACTGATACAACATAACTTCTGGATTAATCTAAAAGGCAATATACTAAGTGAAACAAGTTTCACAAGGTTACATATTTATGATTCTATTTATATGACATCCCTAAAAAGAAAGCTATACCAACAAGAACAGATCAGTGGTTATTAGCCAGTATGGAGCTGTAGAAAGTATAATTACAAAAGGATAATTTAAGAAACAATTTCTGATCACGATTCCCCATTACACTGCTTTGAAGCCTTATAATGATTTCATTCATTTTAAATACTAATTTAAAAGTACCAAATGAAAACCAAAATATAGCTGCCCA